CCAGCGAGAGTGGGCACACACAACGTGTTCTTCTGAGAAACTCTCTGGAACACTCACTTTCACTGATAAGAGTGACCACGCCAGACTATATTCCATAATTCTTGTTCTTTGAGTCCAGAATTGCTACTCTTTCTCTATCTTTCCATTGATCTTCCATCTTCATGAACTTTACTCAGATTATTCCTACAAAAACATGATTAAATTCTTAATTTCTAAACAAGAAAATTCACAAATGCTAAAATAACTATGTATTTAAAGAAAACCTTCAATCATTCTATTTTTATAAGTTTTTCTGCTTGTTCCCACATATTTTCCTTATCAATTGGCGTAAAACTACATTAAAATACTAGTAAAAATATGGATTCATTAGAGTGGAAGGGACTGAAAGAGGAGAGTGAGAAGGGAGGAGGAGCTGAGAGTGGCGAGTGGGAGGGAGGACTTGAGAGGGAAGAGTTTGGGACTTATAGAGCAAGATTTGTTTAAGCAAAAATGAAACCGAATGTCCAGTTCCTATTGCAACTAGAAAGGATCCAGATCCACCAAAGCATAGTTGAAAAATTAATCTATTTAATACACACTAGGTCTAGCATGTGGTTTGTTGTTAGCATGGCTAGTTGTCACATGAACAATCCAATTAGCATCCACATGAAATTTATGACTAGGATTCTTCAATACCTCAAAAGTACACTTGAAAGAGGCTCCTACTTTAAGAGAGACCCAAATAAAGGTATTTAATTATATATTATTTTTTATTGGATACGATGTACATTGAATAAGAAATCAACTATTGATTGTTAAACTTAGTTATAAATTTGTTGTAATCTTTTCTTTCCTGTTTTAGTTGTTGGAATTATAGGAGAATTATTTTTTCTAACTTTTAGGCTAGATTAATTGTACAATTCAATTTTATTTCCTATTTATACTTTTCACAGTATAAATAGGAAATATAATTATATTTTTTTTATGAAATACTTGTAAATTAACATTGTTGTTGATGAAAACTATATAAATATAAAGAGCTATTTAGAAATATTTAAATTGGAGACTAGTATATTTTCTTTTCATAATTAAAGGAGACTAAGAAATTTTGACATCAAATGAGTATTTTATTTCATCTCTTTCACCACTCTTTTAGTTGTTATCATCTTTAAAATAAAATTTAAGTGAAAGGTTAAAAAAAATGAAAAAGGTTAAGAAATTACTTAATAAAACTAACACTAAAATTGATTTATAGGAATAAAAATTTAAGTAATAAAATAAAATAAATTCTTTTAAAAAATAAACATAGGTTGATTTAAATTTATAAGAAGTTTTCTAATTTAATATCTCTAAAACTTGAGATATATAAGTTATTTTTAACTTATAAAAAAATTATTTATATTTATATTTATTTTCTTCTTCTATACAGAATTATCTAAAAGCTTATTCAAATTAAGTCTTTGTCTATTTTGTTGATAGTAAGCTTTTGAGCTGTGAAAATTGCATAAGAATAACACTTTAAAGCTATCATGTCTTTTCAAGGATTATGAAGCAATTAGATTAAAAAGGGTATTGAAGAGTAAAAAAAAAAAACAGTTAAAAGAAAAGGTAGTGAATAAGAAAGCAAGTTGGGAAAGTTTGGTTTCGTACCTCTAGTTAGTAAAAGTTGGAATATCTAAAAAAGAATGAAGTGAAACAAAATGTTAGCGTCTCCAGAAAAGAAGCTGAAATATATGAATACTCAATACTTAGTTGCAAATATATTCGTCAAACCTTTTAAATTTGAGAATTTTTGAAGATTATAGTCTTGGATTGAATTTACCAAAAAAAAAATCAAATTTTACAAATGTGTTAAATAATAGAGCAAACTTAATTCATTTGATATAGTGGTAATGAATTTCAAGATTCATAATATTAGATTGAAACATTTGTCTAATATCATACATCGCTGTCATTATAATAAATTATTATTGACTCTATCAAGCTGTTGAAATAAATTATAGATAATTTGGATTATTTTTCTTTAGGTCATTATCTTTATTAAATTTGAGAAGACTCTGTTTGTATATAATTATCTTTAGGTCATTATCTCTATCTTTAGGTCATTCCTATTTTATAAATCTCCAAAACAAAATCATTTTCATATTAAATAAATTCATAAAATCTCTAATTTCTTTCAATAAAAGACTTTCTAATTCATCAAAAGCTTTCAAACGTCGTTACCAAATTTAGAAAACTCATATGGTCTTGTATTATGAGAATTAGACATCAACTTTTATATTATCATAAAATAAACAAAATTGTTTCATATTCGCGTTATTAAATTTATATTTCTACTAACATGCAATTAACTTCATCTATATTTTACAAAGAAATACTTTTTCTAATTTTTTTATAAGAAACAAAATTAAATATTATTTTAATTCTAACTATAAGAAATATATAATATATTTAAGATGTATTAATTATTAAATTTTTTTATTGTTAAATGTATGTTTATGATGCAATAAATATACTAACTATACTATTTAATATTTTAGGTATTTTTAAAATAGTTTATAAAAAAATGTAATTAAATTAATTATTTTTTATCTAATAATTTAATATTTTATTTTTTTAAAAATAGGATCTGAAGAAATGCTACTTAGAACCTTGAGAGTCAGAAGTTTTGTCAAGCAAAAGGTTTGCATAATCGACGCAAAATTCCAAATACAGCTGAACAACATATATATTGAAAACGGCAATTTGATAAAGGACTAATTAAAGTCTCTAGAATAGGTTTTTCAGACATTAAATAGCCATGACTCAAACCTGTAAAAAGCGGCATCCAATAATTTATTCTAATTCAAAATACTTCTTGAAAGTAGAAGTTTGATTTTTTTAATGCACTTCTAATATTTCAATGACTAAATAATTATATATATTAGTTCATATATGCGCAATCAGTCATGACGGGAAACAGACAGTGAAGGTATAGAAATGATGGTGAAAGACATGAATGCACCTTTATGCTCCATAATGTAAATATTACCCTCATCTAACCGCTGAGGACGAAGGAACGTTCATGCATCTTAGCAAGGAATGTGCGTGTTAAACACTCAAATTTGACATTGCCTCATTTCCAATCCAATCTTTTCACCTCGATCAAGTCAGTCCAATCAGATTCTTAGCTCACCCCGCTCTCAACACTAACCGCTCTACATTTATTACGCAGTTTTCACTGTCAAATTACAATACAACACATTAGAATTTCTTCTGTTAGAACCCTAGTTGGCTTCAAAGTGAAAAATATCTACACAAAAAAAAAAAAAAAAACTCCGTTACTGTCTCAAAAATCACGCAACCTCTGTCCTAAAGTTTGCACAAACAAGCACGTAATATGGATCGATTAGTGTTGAGAGCGGGGTGAGCTAAGAATCTGATTGGACTGACTTGATCGAGGTGAAAAGATTGGATTGGAAATGAGGCAATGCTAAAACACCTATTCTTAAAATAAAATAAAAAATTTGTTTTGTTTCTCCTTGATTGGCACAAAATAAATAATAATTAATCAAACTTTTATTTGAATCTCTAAGATAGTAAATCTTAGATAATTTAATCTTTAAAATTTAAAAAATGTCATGTTAATCCTTAATTTTTATCTTTATTCATCATTTTAATCTTTTAATCTATAAACTGTCAATATATATTCTAAAATATTAAGTGAAACGTATAATTAATTATATAGTTAAAATAATATCATATGTGCTGTAATATATCTTTATTTCATTTTAGTCATTAAAATTATTATCCATCATGCATCTTAATTCATATTTTTTAAAATCTTTCATCTATTCATCATTATTCTTCTTTAATACTATCATCACCCGCTACCATATGTGTGGCCTACGGACAACTTCACCGCTGCCATCCAACACTTGTCCAATGCTCAAAACTTCCATTACCCTGTATAGCTTCAAAATCTTGAATCTCTTATTATTTTCTAGTTCTCCAAGTTGTGGAATTTGAAACTTGTGCGAGGTTGAAGCCACCAATTAGTTGCATTTATGAAAAATGGGGTGAACTTTTTGTTGAATTTTGTAGATATTATTGGACAATTCTGTGTCATACACAAAAAAGCGTTCTTTAGTTTATTTTTAAGGAAAGTGTTGTTACTATACCTTGGAAAAGGTTAAATCTTGTGGAAAAAGAAGTGTAGAATGAAAGGGTTGAAGATGAGTGGGAATAAAGAAAAAGAAAATAAAAAAAGTGACAAGAAAAGAAAATGAAAGTGAAAAACTAAGACGCATGAAAGAGAGTTTAAGACGAAAGGACGTTGGATGGGAAGACAACAATAGTATTTATAAAAGTGTCCCACAACGGCACACAAATGATGTTCATCAACAATGGTTTCAACGATGGTAATGGTAAAAAAAATAAAGAAAAGAAAATGGGTAGATAAAAATTTTAAAAAATTAAGGACTAAAATGTTTGAAAGGTTATATTCAAAACTGAAATACTCAAAAAAAAAATATTATACATTATATAATATCATTTTTGTCACGTAATTAATTATAAATAACATGTTAACATTTTATACTATGACTAAAATGATGAAAGAAAACAAAGATTCTGACTAATGTTGATCATTTTAAAAATTTAAGAGACTAAAATATTTAACGCTTACTGTTTTAGAGACTAAAGTAAAAATTTGGTCAAATAATCATTACTAACACTCAATTTGAATAAACTTATCTATAAATACTTATAAGAGTAAAAAATTAAACAGAAAATAAATCAAACTTCTCTTATAAATTGAAATGAATTTATACTTTTCTATTTTATTTTTAAATTTTATCATTTAACTTCTCTAAAATCTAAAGAGTATAAATTATTTTTAACTTATGAAATAAATTTTATTTATTTTTAATATTAATTTCTTCTTTTATAACGACTTGTTAGCACCTTACCCAGACTAGGTCTAAATTGAAGTTTAAAAATAGTTTTTGAAGTAGTCTTAATGCAACAGTCAGACGTTGTTACTTGTTACCATTCAAAACATCGAATTAGACAAACAAATGCAAGGTAAAATTGCCTATGGACCCACACAAGGATCATACTTTCCAAGGACCCCGTGCATAGCCAGGCTTCATAACCCCAGGTTGGCTTGTTTATTTACAAATATAGTTTTTTGCTTAGCAAAGGAAGAAAAAGAAAACAAAAAAAGTAACATCAAAACCTATCAAGAATCTAAGGCTCTATTTAAAATTGATACCTGACCTGAGTCCCCATTTAACAAGAAAACTTCCAGAGGGACATAAGGAGAGGACATTGATGCACCAAACCTATAGGTGGGTTGCAACATTTTACTCCCTTTTGCACATGAAATGGTTCTAAGACGAGGTCCAGTTCTCATTTGCCAGATCTGCAGGACATTAACAATCAGGGGGAAAAAATTAAGAATGTATTGAAGTAATAATGATAAATCCCCAGAAGAATGTCTGCTCAGTTGTTTATATGCACAACACAAGAATGACAAGTCCAAGATGTGTTACACTGACAGTAAACAAGAGAAGAAACTGTCATATCATTATACCGATTATCTTTCATTAATTACATAATTGCAGCACTGCTATCCAATAGTTTTATAAAAGAGGTGAAAGCGTCTTACCTCAATAATTCCTTTTCTAGGTGCATGAATAGCCAAACACAAGCAGTAATCACTCTTCACTGGATCAGCATAAGTAGAGCTTGATGATGCAATGTCTTTTTTCACCAACATCTCAATGAATAGACAGCTGGCATTTCTATATCCCTGCAAAAATACTAATCTAATATTAAACAAATAGAACAGTAATTTCATTTTGAGATTTTTAAGGGAAGGGGACGGGTGGTCAGGTCAAAAAGTTCAAAAGAAAACCTTCCATAAGCGCACCACCACAAGTGCTTGCGTATCAAGCAGCAATATGCGACCCAGTGAATCTGTTATAGCAGCCAGTGTACCGCTTGGGGATAAGGTAAGCTTCTCACCTTTCCTAGGGTGATCCTTTAAACATGTCAGAGGTGCAGCTGCAATGAGCCATAAGGTCAGATATTTGGAAATAGTGCAGCAATTAGCATTGCATTTTATCTTGAGAGTCCAGCTGGTTCAGCTATATCTGTTTCTAATGGAATGTTTAATGTATTTTAGATAGGTATTCATTAAATTTTTGTTGAAGATCCTAGTATGAGCCTAGTATTACAGTACATCTATTCCACCAAAGTGTTGAAAATATTCCCAAAATAGAAAATAGAGGTGGTGTAGAATGGTTATTCTGCAGAACTTTCCTTCAAACAATCATCCTTTCTAATTGTAAACACATACCCCCAAATATAATAAAATAAAAATACAAGTGAAAACAGGAAAATGAAATATAAGAAGCTGGTAAACAGCAATGCGGAGGCAAGAGAATTTGAACCCATATAAGAAGTATTCCTCTGCATGTTAAGCTAGTAAATTGTAGTCTATCCACTTATGAGGAATTCACCAGAGAGAGTTCATCCTATTTCTTTGGTTTCAAACTTACGCATTGTGTGACTTGTCTAAACTTCCTTGTGGCAATACTTTTCTTATAGTTATAGTTATATTAAGATATCACAGCACCACTTTTTTAACTACTAGGCTTGATGTCATCCGTACCATACACACAATTATCTGCAGAAGACTCTGTACTTCTAATCACAAAAGGAAAGCACTATGATGTGTGTTACTCCTACCTCGAGCAAATGGCTGAGGTTTCTGATCTGATTTATTTGGGGATTTCTTTGGAGACGTCTGTTCACTCCGCCAAATCAATTTAGAAAAAGATGCTATTGTGGAAAATGTTGCAGGTACAACTTTAGACAAGATAGCTCCAACTAAAGATCTGCCTTTGTCCTCAGAAAGTCTTCCAAATGATCAAACAAAACAATAACTCAGTCAACATAATACTATGACTACAAAATGACTTCATACAGCAAATCAGAGCATATATTTATAAAGAATAAGCATAAGTTTACAGCAAATAATCCATCAAATACCTGTACGCTGAAATCACAGCATCCTCTCCAATGGCCACTGCACAGTAATAACGTTGACTTGACTGCCCAACAATAAAAGCAGCTGAATTCAAATACCAGAAATAATTTCAGAGAGCTTCCATCATCTATGGTTCATATGACATTGACCATAATCATCATCACAAAACCTCATTGTAGGAACAAAGAGAAACTGAGAAAACATGCTTCACAAAAAAAAAAAAAGAAATCAAAGACAATCACCAAACTATCACTTCGAGTTTCAGATCATACATGACTTCCCTAGTTAATAGAAATTTAACAATCAATCAATGATTTTTACAAAAAGGCAAAAGAAAAATTTAAAAACCAACTAACACCTGAATGGGTAAACGATTAAACAAAAGAAACTAAAAAATGTGGCTTTACAAATCTTACATGTTGAGAAGAGATACTAAAATATTTTATGATAGTTTTCCTCCAATCACTTTTAGTTTTCTTGAAAAGAAACTCAAACAAACATCATTACCATGGCAAACATAACATTATCATTTAAAAAGAATTTACCTGTTGTTCCATCAGTGGAGGTGGCATTATGCCAGTAATTGCTGCGTCAGCACAAGTACCGTACTTGCCAATATTCCACAACTGGCAAGGTAATTTTACATCAGAATTCCTAAAATCTTCTGAATCTTGGCTCTTTGGTTTTTTATCCCAAAATCGAGAGTGTTCTTCTTCAAACCATTTCTGCAGCATATTCTGCATTTCAACATTACAAAGCCTTCAGTTAGACTCATAATCAGCTACTGTACTCCAAAACTCATACTGCAACAGTAACACCCTATTTCACTGTTAATAAAACAACGTATTACAATACCTAAAAAAATTATTATAAGTTCTACATTTGCCCCAAGGACAATATTTCAGTGAAGTTCTAATTCCCAAGATGCAGAAACCAGTGTTTACCTGAATATCAGAGCCATCAAAACGGGCAATTACACCTGGCATAACGACACAAAACTCTTCTGGGGAACTATCTTGAATCAAATCTTTCTTTGTTCCACGAACTCTTAACTTCAATACTCGTCCAGGATAAATGATCTACAGGAAAGCAAATTGATATAGACCTATGCTTAACATTATGAAAAGGAAAAAGAACAAGTATGAATGTAGACTTTCATACAGCACTTTATTCCTAATCTGATTTGTTACCTTACCAATTTGCCAATCTTAAACCTGCATCCAAATTTGAATTTATATTTCAAACTCCCATTTTATTTCTTTTTGGCTCATAGATAGTTGATCCACAAAACCGTTTAGATTTTAAGCAGTAAGTATTTAGAGAAATGCTAAAAGGTAGAAAACAGTTTTCTTGAAACACAGGAAATAATAAAAAAATTCTCTCTTTACAACATTTCTCTCTATTAAATCAATTTATTTTTCTCTTCAATCATACCTACCCCACTCCTGATTGATTAAAAAGTCATCCATAATACTTTTCACAAATGTCATTTGTACCAAATAGCATCACAGAAATATATTTTACTTCTACAGGAAGGGAGATGAAGGCCAATTGATCCTAAATCCTTGTAATCTTCTACAAGGGACTTTACTAGCTGAGTTAACTGGCTCAGGCATTTCCAGGCATTTCCATTTGTCTTTCTTAAATTTTATTTAAAAGAACAATAATTTTTAGTTATGGGGACAACAAACATTGAGGCCACACTTTGAAGTAATTTGTTTGATTATAATCATCTTACAAATCAATTAAATATTTCTGAGAAATTACAGTTGACGAACTGAAAGTTAGATTTCTTGTGTTCAAGGATAGACAACCTAGCTAGAGTTTGGTTGAAAGAAAATAAATGAAATCATTGTCAGTATTGTGTTATCATCCTTTAAGAGCAAAATCAATTTTGATTGCCCAACTTTTCAACTAAACAACAAAGATTTTGCTCCTCTACAGTGAGGATGCAACTTGGATAAATCAATATATATATATAAGGACAGAATCTTCTCATACTAGTATAAGTTTAAAAACTCTTACACTTGATTTAAGTCTTTCATTTAACTTAAATCTAATAGATTATAATTTATTACTTCATTGACTGTTAGATGTAAATTAAATGAAATATTTAGATTAAGTATAAGAGTTTTTAGACTTATACTAGTGTGAAAAGATCCTTCAAATCTCAACACAAAAGAAGAGTAATCATCACTCAGTTTTAGTCTTGAAATTGTAAAAATATCTTCTAATAAAATTGAAATCATGGGTCATATCAGTCCTTTACTTTTGTAATATTAAGGACTAAAACTATGTCGTTTGAAAACATTAAGGTTAAAATAACTGTCATTTGATGTGGAAAATCAAAATGACATTTTTATCATTTTAAGGGCTCATTTGGTTGACAAAATAAGAGAACAACATATGATATTTTTCCTTATCCTATCCTTATTCTAATGTTTGTTGAACCAACAAGATATGATAAACCTATACCATGGTCTTATTTTATCTTTCTCTCCGGTATAAATTTTATCCTCTGGGGAGACTTAGACTTGGGCAAGAAATTGACAAGATATGATAATATAATGTATATAATTTGTCATTTTAATTTGCATTAAGGTCTGTTTAGGAGATATAATAGGATAAGAAACGACAGAAAATGAGAATTAGATAAAAATAAGATAAGAGTAAGATATGCTCTTATCTTATTTTGGTGTGTACTAAAATAACAAACTAAATATTATGCTATTCTATCATGTCCATTTCTAACCCAAGTTCTCCTACAGAATAAAATTTACACTAGAGACTAAGATAGCATAAACCTATACGATAAACTTATCATATCTTATTGGTTAAACAAACACTAGAAATACAATGAGATAGGAAGTACTATCATTTAATGTTTTCTTATCCTGTAAATTAAACGAGTCCTGAACGTAAAATAAAATCAGTCTATTATATTGTTATCATTTTACGTTCTTATTCAACTTTTATATCGTATTATGTCATATAAGTCCACCAAAAGCCTCAAGAACTTAAATGAAACAAAATGTGAATATGGTAAGGGAGGAAGGCTAACATTACCTGTCTGTGAATCAATTCACCGCGCAAGGAGTAAAGGAGGAGGTAGCCGGAGGATGTGCCGGCGACGATGACGCGAACGTCGTCGAAGACGAGGAATTCGATGGCGGAGATGGACTCGGAGTCGATGGGGGATAATTCGGGTTGGATCTTGAGGGGGGATCCGTTGGATTCGGACCACGAGAGGAGAAGAATGGCGGAACGATTTGCGATGAGAAGAGAGTGAGTATCGATGGCGCAAAGGAGATTGGAGTTGTCGACGAGCCAACCCGGTTTACCCGCTCCGAGTTCACTCAGTTCCTCGCAGGCCACGCATCCCAACCCCGTCTTGTACGATCGCCTCGCCATTGCAACTGCAATTCTACTCTTTTCCTTCCCCAACATCAATTAATTGACTAATGATATATTGAAATGCAAACTGGCCCTCACTTGTATGCGCCGAAGGGGCCACAAGGTGTCCAATTATTTCAATAACTGCCTTCACAATAATAATAAGGTATAGTTACAAATTATGAAGGACGAGATTTAAAAAATTTAGAATACATTTGTTTGGCTTCTTAGAAATAATTTTTTTTCTTTAAATAAAATATAATATAAATTTGTCTTGCTTTAGATTTTATTATTTTTTGTTGATTACATGAAAAAAAAAGTGTTTTATTTTCGTTAGTAAATTTTTAAAAAATAATTTATATTTTTTATTATTCTTTTATAAAAGAAGTAACTTGTTTAAAACAAGTAAAATCTTGAAACTTATGATTAAAATTATCAGTTTATTTTTACCCTATTTTACAATTTTATTCTCATAAATATTTTTTAAATAAAAACTAATTACTACAACCAGTTTCATATCTATTTTAGTAATTTTATACAGTAAAAATAATTATTTCATTTAATTAAAATATAATATATTATTTTAAAAAAAAATTTATCCAACTTTTCCAAACATAAAACTCATTTGATGTAATTAGTTATAGATACGACTGATTACATGAAATAAGACATAAAATGTTTCCATTTTTTTACAGTTAATAAAATAATATAATTTGCAGTGGTAAAATACTTTGTAATTGAAAATTAGCACCAAATAAAAACTAAAAAATAAATAAAAAACTAAATCAAAATAAAATAAATAAATAATCAAATTATTAATTTTATTGATAAAATTACAAGAATTAAATATGTTTTAGTCAACTAAAAATATAAATAAATTTTATTTTAATCATTAACTTTTTTTATTGTGTTTTAATCCTTAAAAAAATTAAAATATTAAAAGAAATATCCTCATTGGCAATGTAAGTATTCAGTGACTAAAACTAATTTTAAAACTTATAAGTAACAAAACAAAACAAAAATAATTTTGTTTTAGTTTTATAAATTAAAAACATATTTTACATAAATTATAATAAAAATTGAAAAAAAAACTTTTAAGTATTTTCAATGCATATTTTATCACTTAAATTAATGTAATATTCTTAAGTTTTAACTTAAATCGTGTGTAATAACACTTTTTTTATAATGAAAAGTATTTAAAATTGTTTTTAATTCAAATTAAATTTCATTCTTATTTAGATAAATCATCCTATATAATTTATCACATATAAAATTCAATCAAATCATTATGTTAATTTATAAGTAACTAGTAAATTTTTCTTCTTTGATAGATTCTAGAGACTAATTTAATATTTGGATAAGATATTAGGTGTTTGGTATTACTTTACACTTTATCTCTCAATATCTAATGACAATAAGCAAGGTAAATATTAAATTCTTAACTAATATCATACTAAATGAGTAAAATAGTCTTTTATATTTTTTTCAAAAAAATATATTAATTTATGTATTTTATTATGTTCTATCTTTATGGTATACAATTTTTGTCTCCATGTTTAGAATGTTTTAATACCAAGCACTAAAACATTATAAAATATTAATACAATATAAAACATTACAAAATATATTTTTTTAAGCATAGAAATTAATTTGAAATAATATTAATTATGGGAATCAAAAGTGTATTAAAAAAAATGGTGAACTTGTAAAAAAAAAAAACAAATAAAAATATCATAAATTAAAAAAGATTGAAAACTTATATCTAAATGAAAAAATATTTATTGATAAAACTTATTTATTTAGTAAATGCATAAATAAATCAAATAATAATTATTATAATTATTAAAATATTAAGAATAGTTCACACATGATAAAGACTTTAGTACACTTGAAAAAAAAAATATATGCTTAAATATTTTTTTTATAAATAAAATATCTAATTAATAAAAAGTAGTATAAAGAATAAATAATAAAATTTGAGTCAATATAATAAGAATTGTTTATTTATATAATGAAAAAAGTTATGAATTCATTAATATAATAAAGTTGATTATATAAAATTTTGAAAAACAGTGTAATTTTACATTTCAAATATAATAAATATTACATTTATTATAGAAAAAATCATTTTTTAAATATATTATATAAATTAATATATAATACATAAATATAAACTTCATTAAGTGTTTCATTCTTTTAAAAATTGCACAATTTAAACCTAATTCTTATAAAATATTATTAAAATATAGTCTTTATCTTTTACGAAATATTATTTTTAGTTCTTCTAACTAATTCGATTCAACATAAAATTGACACTTAAACTATATCTCTCAATAGACATGTCAATTAGAAACTAAACACTTAATTAAGACAAAAAAATATATTATATGTAAATTGATATAATTACATATTACACAATTATAATAAAAATGTTAATGTTAATATTTTATTTATTCTTCTAAATGTGAAAGAAAACTAAAATAAAATAAAATAAATAAATTTTTTATTAATTAAATTTTTTATTAATCATCAAATATTATGAAGTTTGAGTTATAATATTATATTTTCTCAATTAAATTCAATATACTATATTCTTTTAAAATTATAAGTGGTTAAAATACATATTTAAATTTTATATTTAATATATTTACAAATTAATTTAATTATATAATTTTGTCTATATAAAAATAATATTCTTTAAATAAGTCTGTAAAATTTTTTATTAAAATTTAATTATATTTTCAAAATTCTAGCTTATCACTCCTTGCCAGTTGCCACCATCACATCATCGTCACTTTTCATATTTTATTATATAAAAAAAAATTTTAAAAAATTAATATTATTTTTTCCCCTCAATCCTTCATTTTCTTCCACCTATTAACTCTCTAATAAAAAATCTGATAACTCCTCGAATACACTCATCCATCTCTTTGTCTTGAATCAAAATCACCTCAATCCTGAAACGAAATTCAAATTTTCTTCCCTCCTTAACCTTCAAATCACAATGGTGCATGTTTGGAGTTTTGTAATCTTTAAACATCTCAAATTGTTTGTGTCGTGTTAATCTCAAGTGATTGTTTACCAAAATGTTTGAAAGAACTCAATAAAAAATTGTAGAAATGTAAAATTCATTGGAGACCTTTCCCAATCTCAAGCATCTACAATTGAAGGATATTTAAGTGAACGTTGAATTTTTCACCACCAACCACCACTGTCTGATACTTGACTTTGAGCCGACAAAATCTTGCCGGGAGGAAGGCTCATTGTCAGAGAGAGAAAGAGTTCACGAACGAGAGGACGACACAACATGAATGTTAAAAGTAGATGTGGGTCAGTTCCCAAGGGTACTATCGCCAAAGAAGTTGCTACAAACATTTCTTTGGCATTAAGATTCTCTCATGTTCAATTTCGAACATGACAATCATGTTTGCATGTTTTTTTACTTTCGCTTAAGCAAAATTTTTACTCGCTTTAGCAAAAGTTGAAAAATATACGAACATGACCGTCATGTTTGAAATTGAACATGAGAGAATCCAAATCCGTTTCTTTGGCATAAACTAAAACTTCTTGACATGTCGAGGTTAATATTAAAAAGCGTTATTTTTTATACTAAATATAATTTAGTATTTACAATTTAGTTTTTACACTTAAAACAACTAATGTTTTAGGCCTTATGCATATAAAGATGAAAACAAAATTGTAACAACAAATTTATATAAAAATTAATAAAACCATTTTTTTTGGTTATATAAAACAACCTTTTTAAGTATATAAACTAATCCTTAGATATGTAAACTAATAGGATTAAATGTATTATAATTTAACCTTTTTTCTTGGTCCACCAAAATCATGGTTCAGTTTCTTGAGAAGTTACACCTATTTTGAAATGAAATAAAGGGAATAATAATGGAATTGAAACGAAAAAAGCTAAATTAGGATTTCCCAGAAAATAGTAGACATTATGATTAATATATTTACATCCATGTTGCCAACAGAAAAATACCATCCCAGTTGGTAATGTCGCTTCCAAACAAAACTGGAACTTCCAAGTCCTCAAGACCATAACCTTTCTATGAACCAAAGACCAAATTAGATGTTCAGGCGAAGTACTCTTCCGGGACATAAAATTTTAAACCAACGGCCTGATATCATTGAAAATAAATAAATTAGACAATAAGCATGCAAAGATTAAGACCAAACAATTTCTAAATCAATCAGTAAAAAAATGAAGTACAAATTTAGACATCAAATATTATTCAGAATGGAAGTGTTGCTGAAGGTAATAATATCCACAACCGGGTGAACTACTCATCCATAAAAGTTTCAACACTAATCTGAGATAGAAAGAAAAATGGGCTCAAACTGTGTTATGAGCAATGCCTTATTTATTCAAAGCCATAAAACTGATCATTTTCTTAAATTGTGCTTGAATCAGTCTAGAAGAAGGGTGCTTATGCATCGCCATAAAAAAGTGATAAGTCGTTTAACTACCTCTGCAAATTTAATATCAGCATCACTGTGATCTGATTCTCTCCCTGCTGCATCACCAACATAAAAGGATCTGCAACATAGAAAATGAATCTCTAACATTCTCATCCCTCCGTGGATAAAATATGATGATATTCTAAGGAAAGTTTACGAAAGGAATAAAACAAGTAGCATCAATTGAAACTAATAAAGGGAAGAAAAAATAACTGATCCATATCAATGACAATGCCAGAGTTGAAGTGTTTCTCCATAAGATGCCACATCCCTGGTTTGGGTTTGCGAAAAGGATCTTCCTCTTGGATAGTTTTACCTCCTGATTTACCTAGCCCACAGGCTATAAAAACCTGTACAGATAAAATACTGTTGCATGCTCAGCTTGTCACGCATTTCCTAAATATTTTTCAAAATAAATGGGCTGCAAAGTCTCTCTTTCCTGCAGTGTTTGTTACATGAATGAAACTTGTAACTCCCTAATGAAAGACATTTTACCTAAAATTTTACAGGAGAAAATCACTGTGCAGGAAGAGGTGCAAAAGGTCCTAATTTTAACATCTATGACCATATATAGGACTAATACACGATTTATTCTGAAGATATCATTTCTTGCAATACAAGTCACAAAAAGAAATTATAATTAGTAACAGGAAGATCGCATTCACCATGGACATGACTGGGATTTATTTAAAATGATTGACAAAAAATTTCTTTGCAAATGACAAACAGTTAAAAGGCAGCAAAAATGCCTAGTATGTTAAAACTGTATTATTACCTAATAGGAGCCAAAATTTTGTGCTTTACTGTTGGAGGAAGAACAAAAAACAAGAAAAACAAACTAGCAAGACATTGAGTACTGAAAAGAGAGTTATGAATTACTGGTTAAAATGTTTTTATAACATGGTTATCAAATCTGTCACTGATGAGATCAAAAAGGAAATATGGGCAATTATTACTTCATTGCAAGAGAATTTAACACACAAGGCAAAGGAGTATGAGGTAGGAGCAAGCAACATTGATGATCAAGAAGGGGTGAAAAAAGAAGAATGAAAGAAGTTGAGAGTCCAGCAAATCTTTTCAAGAGAAAGGGAACTATGTAGTCAAGTCACCATCAACAGCATTTTCAAGAAGAATTTGAGGGAGGAAGCATGCCAAGAAATTGCCTAAGCCAAGCAAGTTTACATGCTTCTACAACCACAGCACGATATTCAGCTTCCACACTAGACTAAGCAACTCTGTTCTACTACTTACTCCTCCATGAAATCAAATTTCCTCCAATTAGAACACCATCCATAAGTAAAACTTCTATCTGATGGTGATCCAGTCCAATTAGCATTACTATACAGATTTCTCCTAATCTTTATCTTCGTATAATAGCTCTTGTCCTGGTGCATTTTTTATATATATATGAATTACAACATCCCAATGGCTATCACACGGGGCATTCAAAAACTGACTAACCACATTAACTGAAAAACTTATGACAGATCTGATAACAATAAGATAGTTGAGTCTGCCCACGAAACATCGATATCTTCCCAGTCACTCAACTCTAAGTAGTACTCACATCAGCCACAAATTGATTGCCTATACCTCCCAGTTGGAAAAAGAAAGAAAACAATAATATTTAACCTATTGTGCAAAAGACAGCATCTAATTTTAGCATCACCTCACTATTGTTTCCCTGGTAGAAGTATTCTCAACCAAGTAATCCTATGTCCAAATTCCAAAAGGGGAAAAACTGAAGAGTCGTGACTCTCATAAGAAACAAAACAAACAATCCATAATTGCATAGTTGATAACAGCATATAAATTTGACGGACCAAAAAAGTCACCTGAATTGGAACCTTCACTTTCCCAATGAAATTATTTAGACGTCCAACTTTAGAGTCCACAGCTAGTTGTCTCTTATTCTTCCAACGTTCAATATTGGATTCATTGGTGAAAATTACCTGTAGTAACAACAAAATCGATAGAGCACACAACACAAGTTTCATACCAACAGCATTACTATACATGTAAAAGATTTAAATTAGAGAGACAGAGAGAGCATGAACATGAATACTAAAGTTCTAAAGTTTGCAAAAAATTCATGGTAAAAATTAGGCATCTTTTACAAATAAAAGGAACACACCAACTTGTAACCATCATTGTATAGGCTTTGTAGTCTATCAGGAATTGACGAATGCATGAGGGACCAAGCATTTGGACCCACTCTGAAAGAAAAAAATTAATTTCTCAATAAGCAGAAACTTGTAACATTTAGTCAGTGACAATAATAATAATATCAGTTTAAAAGCATAATTCTGATAAAATATATCCAATCCATAATTATGACTTCAAATGCAACAATACCTTGCCAGTGCAGTTTTTGCAAGACACCCATCGAAATCAAAAGCAGCAATTTTAGTTGAATCATGCAGACCATCATCCTGCAAAGTATCAGAGCATAGAACAGGGGAACTTGTAAACCTATTGAGAGCAGAATGTTTTTGTGTGTTATGTTCCTTTTGTAATTGTTGAGAGAAAAACAGGAAGACATAAGATGAATCCGTGTATTGGAATACACAGCAAAGTTATCTATTTATAATAATGCTCAAAGATACATAATATTCATGATATTCTATTATCTAGAAACACACTATCTACGATTACACTATCTTGGTAGTTACCTTATTTACTTTATTATCAATGCTCTCCCTCAAGTTGGAGCATATAAATCATATGCACCAAACTTGTTACCTACGAGACGCACTTACAGATTTAGTAAAGATACTTGCTAGTTGATCATTAGAGTTGACTAATTAAGTAACAATATTAGGATAAATTTTTTTTTTTAATAAAGTGAAAATCTATCTCAATATGTTTAGTCTTCTCATGAAAGACTGGGTTTGAGGCAATATGTTGTGTAGCTTGATTGTCCCAGATTTGGGTCATCTATGCATCCTCTCCAAACTTCAATTCCTTAAGTAATTGTTTGAGCCATAGGAGCTCACAAATGGCTGAAGCCATGACTCAATATTTTGTCTCCGCACTTGATCTTGCATCAATGCTTTGTTTCTCACTTTTCCTAGTGATCAAGTTGTCACCAATGAAAACACAGTATCCAAAAGTTGATCTTCTATCCACAGAACCTGTACAATCCACATCTAAGTATCCCACAATTTGAGTGTGTCTTTTATCTTTATACAAAAGGCTTTTCCTTACCTTGATATATTTCATAATACAAAAAACTACATCTCAATGTTTCTTACAAGGAAAGTTAAAAAATAAACTCATCACACTTAAAGCCAGGAGTTATCCAAACAAGTGATAGTGAGATAATTTAATTTTCTAACTAAGTTTTCTATATTTCTCTAGATTTACAAGAGGCTCCCTTTGTCCTAGTACGGGTTTGATACTAGGGTCCATAGGACTATCAACAAATTTGGCACTCATCAATCATGTCTCTTTTAGGATGTCCATGGCATACTTCCATTAAAAAATTCCAATACCACTCTTTGACTGAGCTACTACTATCCCCAAGAAATATATAAGTTTGCCAAGGTCCTTTGTTTGAAATTGATGACAAAGATGTTGGTTAACTTGTAAAATTCCATGATGGTCAATACTTGTGATGACAATGTTGTCCACATTAACAATGAGGTAAATGCATCCTGCGATAGAAGATAGAGTAATAAACTCCACTCCAAGTCATACCAAATTGTTGAACCACAATACTAAAACTATCAAACCATGCCCAAGGAGATAGTTTAAAACCATATTGAGACTTTCACAGCTCACAAACAAGTCCTGATTCCTCTTAAGCAACAAAATCAGGAGGTTGTGTTATATAGACTTCCTCCAAAAGGTCCTCATAAAAAAAAGCATTATCGTCTAATTGATAAAGAGGCTAATAACGAATGGCTGGAATAGATAAGAACAAGCAAACAAAGGACATCTTGGCTACAGGAGAGAATGTTTCACCATAATCCAGGCCAAAAAATATAGGTGTAACCTTTGGCTACAAGACAAGCCTTCTATCAGTATACTTTATTATCAAGACCAACTTTAACGATGTAAAATGCATTGGCAACCAACAACAGACTTTTTCAAAGGATGAGGGACAAGGTCCCAAATACCACTATGTTGAAGCGCACACATCTCATCAATCATAGCTTATCTCCGACCAAAATGACCAAGGCATCACCTATAGACTTACGAATGAAAACAGAAGACAAAGAAGAGAGACAAGTGTAATGAGAAGGGAATAAACAATAATAATTGACATTAACATAGTGAAGCGAAAAATTACGAGTAAAACATATACCTTTACAAACGGCAATGGGAAGGTCTGAAAAAGTGAGGCTAAAGGAGGCACATGATGTCACACTGAAGGTGAGTTAGAAGAGTCAGCAATAGAGCAGTCATGTGTTGATGGGGGGAGTAAGAGATAGTGCAGACTGTTGGTAAACTTACAAAGGTGAAGCTAAAGTGAAGCAGATGGTGCCATAGACTCTTGAGAGGGAGGAAAATGAACAGAGATTGGAAAGAATAATTTGAGGACTTAGAAGAAGACATAAAATTATAAAGCATGTCACATTCTAAAAAAAACATCATAGGATATAAAATAACAATGAAGAGTAGGAGAATAACATTTGTACCTTTTCTGAGACCAAGAATAAGTGAGTAAGACATTTGTGAAAGCAAATAGAAAGTTTGTCTAACCAAAGGCTTACATTATGAACAAAACAAGTAGAACTGTAGATCCTAGAAGGTAGGAGAAGAGGTTGATGAAGATACAAGACCTGCTGAGGTAATTTTTACATCTAAAACAAACGAAGGCATCATATTAATGAGGTAACAAGTGGTAAGACATCACTCCAAAAACGATGGCATGACCATGAAGCAAGAGTATGAGTAGTCTCAAGATGTCTAGTTTTATGTTCAACAACCTCATTTTGTTGAGGAATATGAAAACAAGACATTTGATGAAGAATTCCATGTGAGGCCATGAAACTTCGAAAGGAAGTAGACATGTATTCTTTGACATAATCACTTTGTAAGATACAAACAGCAATGTCAAATTTTTATTTCATTATAAAAAGACTGAAAAATAAAAAACAAATCAGACCAGTCTTTCACTAAATAAAGCCAAGTGCATCCAAGAGGAGCACATGTTGACCTTGTTGATGTCAATGGTGGCCGGAAAAATGGCCAGACCCGCCACCACACACAGCGGCAGCGACAGCAGAATAGTAAAACCATGTCTGCTTGAGGAAGCATGTGCGCCATGGGAGCTTTGGTGGAGATGGAACAGGTGGCACAAGCAACTACCAATAAATCCAATGGTCAAGGATAGAAAGGTCACCACAAAACGGTGGCCACCAGTGAGAATAATGTTGGATGAGGAAAAATTCACCAAAAAGCAGTTTCTGGAAAAAAAATAAATTATGTAAATGGGCAGTGAGCCGACCAGAAATGAATGGATTAGGAATGCTCTCTTGCCAAGTTCTAGATACGAGTAAACACTGGATGAATCCATGTGTTGGATTAACAGTGAACTTTCTGTATATAAAAATGCTCAATGATTACATAATATTACATGATAACTACATGATATTCTGTTATCTAAAATTACACTATTACACCATCTTCATAGTTTACCTTATTTACATAGTTATTTTATTTATATTATTTTCAACAGTAATATTAACAACACATCTTCTCACAAGGTTGTAGTGGACTCAATCACAGTCAGACCAAACAACCAAATCAAAATCCAGTAAGAATATTAATCTAACCCGATCAAGAAAAATGACAGTTTGGAACGCCTTCCATTTTGGTAAAAGGGTAGCATCCTGCATCAGGTAATAGTTTAACAAACATAAGATGAACAAAAAATGTAAATGATAAAAAAAATAACACAAATATAAGCATAACAATGTGATAAACTTTAACTATCAAACATCAAAGCCATCCATATATCCAATAAAGACAGAAAAGAAAAAGGTTTTACCTTGTACTTGCTCGTGACATCAGAAACTGAAAAGTTGATGTTCACCATAGCAATAACATCAGGTGTGCACAACTGCAAGCAATAAACATGAAGAATAAAAAGAATTGACATAAAACTTAAGCAGAGTCAGAGACACAAACCATCTGAAGGAGAAAATAAGCACTGGCAAACAACCTAAACCAACATGAAAATGCTTCTGATTCAACAGTTTATATTTTCTGACAGACAAACAGTTAAGAATATTAACAGTTTCATGTATGTATGAGTTGACATGTTTTACGTTGGCTAGGTAACATTTTCATATAGTTTCCAAAACACATCTCTGAAACATATTTCTTCATCAAATCCGCAATTTTAATATTTGTCAGGGCATCTTCCTTCAAGAGATCTAGAAAGAAAGAACAAAAATAATGGACAGAATTTTACTACATTACACAGCAAGAAAAAAATACTAAATACAAGATGATAGCCAAAAATTTGAAAACCTTCATACAGGAAGCAAAAAACCACCCTCCCCTCTCTTTCTCTCTCTCTCTCTAAGATATACAATATTATTACACAACATTTGCCATTTGATACACCAAAAACTCTTTGACAGTGCATGTAATTACCTTCATTCCCTTTGAATTAGGTTCTTCACTCATTTGCGTTTCATTTTGTACATCTCTCTTTGCTTTATGAACCTATGAAAGAAGTGTAACACATAACCAAATTGAACAAGTTAAGACAAATTTCAAAAGGAAACAGTCTGTATTTACCCTTACTAATGTAGACAAGTTAAAACAATAAGATGCAGAATTAAAATTCAAATAAAAGAGCAACACACATAAATCAAATTGAGTTCTCACCTTTTCTTCAGATTTGTCATTTTCAGCAAATAACTTCTTCAGACTTTCCTGGTCACTACTCTACAACAATTTAAAAATAATTGCTTAAAAAAGGTCATGAAAATCTGTAAATTTTCAAGTTGCAATGAAAACATCATACAGATTGCTAATTTCCTGGATACAACACTATTAACTTCTTCCCACCAAAAATTCAATTTTTTCTTTGGCAAAAGAATGTTCAACCCAAATTTTTCAATTAAAATGGAATAATGCCATGAACCTACCTAAAGCTTCCTAGTCACTGGTGAGACAGGAAAAAAAAGAGAGTAATAAATATTCACTTTTCTTTCAAAAAAGCAATAGAAAGATAATGCAGCAAAAACATTATAAAACTTAAACATAAAAATGAAAAGTTGATGTTCAGCACAGCATTAACGTTAGGTGTGCACAACTGCAAGCAATAAACATGAAGAATAAAGAGAATTAATATAAAACTTAAACAGAGATGCAAGGCATCTGAAGGAGAAAATTTGCACTGGCAAATAACCTACACGAACATGTCAATGCTTCTGACTCAACAGTTTACATTTTTTGACAGACAAACAGTTAAGAATATTAACACTTTCATATATGTCTGAGTCTTGACATGTTTTACATTGGCTAAATAACATTTTCATATAATTAAAAAAAAAACATCTCTGAAACACATTTCTTCATCAAATCCGCAATTTTATTATTTGTCAAGGCATCTTCCTTCAAGAGATCTAGAAAGAAAGAACAAAAATCATGGACAGCATTTTACTACATCACACAGCAAGCAAGAAATACAAAATACAAGATGATAGCCAAAAATTTGAAAACCTTCATAACAGAAAGCAAGAATTGGGCTCTCACCTTCTCTTCAGACTTGACATTCTCAGCAAATAAGTTCTTCAGGGCTTCCTGGTCACTACTCTAGAACAATTTAAAAATAATCGCTTAAAAAAGGAATGAAAATGTGTAAATTTTCAAATTGCAACGAAAAACATTATACAGATTGCTAGTTTACTGGATACAATACTAATAAACTTTTTCCCTCCAAAAAATCAATTTTTTTCTTCAAAAAGGGAATCGCTCAACCCCAATTTTTCAATTAAAACGGAATAATGCCATGAACCTAATTAAAGCTTCCTAGTCACCACTCAGGTAAACAAAAAATAAAATATAGAGTAATGAGCATTCACTTTTCTTTCAAAACACAATCAAAGGATATTGCAGCAAAACATTATAAAGATCACTTTTAGGGAGATATTATCAGCACACTCTTTTTAACATTTATTAGAAAAAAAAATGATTATCTTGAGAATATAAAAGTTTAACATACATTATATTCTTAATAAAAAGATTACTATTTGTATGTGTTTAAAATCGACACTACAGTTAACAAAACCTTTTTATTATTATTAACTAAAATTTATTTTAACCTATAAAATCAAATGAATCTCACCCTCATTTGATTTATTGGAGTAGGCCCAATTTGGATAAAATTCTTAAGAAACATTTGTAAAAGAAGAAAATAAAGAGATAAAACAAATAAAATACTTATCATAAGTTAAAACCAACTTATATATTATGTTTTGAAAAATCTAATTGAAAAGGCTTCTAAGGGTAGAAGAACACAAGTGGAATTTTACATAAAATAAATATTTTATTATCTTATTTTCTTGGTCTACAAGTACTTTTGCATAAGTTTAACAGTACTAGACCTAATATCATCAAATAAAGGAGTCAGATAAAAAAGATTGAGTTAAAAATGCGTAGTTAATATATCTCTGTCTGGTCTTCATTTTTTTTCTTACTTAAAAGGGGGGGGGGGGGGGGGGAAGAGTTAAACCTAAAAGTGCAGTGTTTGACGGGGAAAGAAAAAAAGGGAAACCTTCAAGGTGGAAAAGCCATTGATGGTCTCAGGAGAAGAGGGAGAGTGAGAGGGTAGAGGGAAGCAATGGAGATGGTGCCATTTAACGACGTTGTAAGGACCGTCGCCTTTGGAAACCAAACCTAACCGCAGTGTCTTCGCTTTGATGGCTTCGGAACACGCCTTGCACGACGACCGGTTTGATTTAGCGTATTCTGCCACCATCGAATCACGAGACGCCATTGGCTTTCCCTTTGGTAACGGAGGAGGGGACACCGTGACGGAAACGGACAGAAGGGGATGAAAGCTAGGGTGACGGACGTTGACGGCGAAAATTTTGGGGATTCGGAGCATGGAAAGATTCCATTACAGTAACGGCATGAAGGTAACGCGTGAGTGAGCGAAGAGAGGGAAAAGAGAATTTGGGCAAAATGAGGAACCAGGACGGGCTCGAAGTTTCGCGCCACGTCAGGTTTCACGTTTACTTAAGGCCTATTGTGTGATGTTAGAAAAATTAATGCAAAATGGTACGTGGCAATTTGGGCTTTTTTTTATTTAAATATTGTTTATTTAAAAACAAATTAGTAAACTATAACATTCAAAATAATTTATTGTTTGGAATTTTTTTCCACTAATAAAAAATATAGTTATCATTGCTCGTGATATTTTTAGTTTTAAAAAAAATATAAATTAGTTAATATCATTGCATGTATGCAAAAAATAAAAAATACATATTACCACAAAATAAGATAATGTTGCCACGAAGATAAAACATGCACAATATTTACATGTGATATTATCCAGAAAGTATCACTACATGATACTTTCACACATGACACATCTACTGTGTATGCACACATGTTGCTTTATTTAGAAAATATTGTCACAGGAAATGCGATACCATAAAAGTAGCAAAAAATAGTGGCGATACTTATATCGATGTTTACATGCGTTATTACCCTCTGCTTAATTTATTGTAGATGTAGTCTTTTATCTAGAAAATTTTTTCTATATAAATGAAACAAATTTTACACTTAAGAAATATGGAAGAAGGATTTTGAAAAATTATTGATATAAGACTAGTTTGATATGTTTCTTTTTATATAAAATACTAATATACTTAATTTACAAGTATGAAATTAGTTTATGTTGTTAGTTTAATTTAAATTAAATATGTAACAAATAATATATTTTTTATTAATAAAATAATTTTTTGTTGGAATTTATTTAGACAATAATTTAAAATTGTTAAATTATTTATATTAATTTGTAAAAATACAGGATGAGTCAAATTGTTATTATTACATATTAAAATGGTTGAATTTATAAAAGAAATGAATGAGAGAATTTAAAAAAAATAAAAATAATTCAAATAAAACAAGGGTTAAGTTTTGAAATATAAAAAAAAATCTATTTAAAACTTAATTGTAATTATAATCACGTTATTTATATATTAATTTTATATTTTTTTATACAAATATTAGATAGTACGCAGTTTTAGAGATTTGTAATGATAAAGAGAGTAATTTTATAATAAGCTCATATCAATAAATAGCTCGTAGAATTATTACTGGATTATTTGTGGATGTTACTATTGGTGAAAGTGTTAAGTGCTTTAAATTCATGTTTTTATTCTTAATTTAGCACCTTTTTTTTTTTGGAAAAGATTTAAATAATCTTGGTAATATTTAACCCTCAAATGGATAAATTAATCTAATTCAAGAAGTCACAAGAGTGGTAATCTTTTGGGTTAAAATATCTCTTTTTTTTTGTACAAAATATGATAAAGTTTGAAATTTAGGGCTACAGCCCCAAATCTACAGCTACGGCCATGAAATTGTACAACAAAACGAGGATTCCAAAGAGTTACAGCCATGGCTCCACAACTCCAGTCACAAAATTGTGCAATAAAACGAGGATTACAGAAAGTTATCGCTATGGCTATGAATTTGCAACTGTAACCGTGAGATAACAGTATAATCAAGGCAATACAGATCTCCACTATAGCTGTGAATTCATAGCTGCACTAGTGGAATTAAAATTTCCAAATTTTTCTCTTATTTTGAAGACGTATATAAAAAGGGATATAGGGGAGAGACAAGGATATGTAACATCCTACTTTTTGGATTCTAAAAATAAATAATAATTTGTTGTAAAACAAGGAAAAATTGATTTTATTCAATTCTTAAATTATAAATATGCGAGAAAATTTGAACTTTAACATATTTGCAATGAATTTAACCAGTAAAATTATCAAAATATAACTGTAAGTTGATAATTATACTTGGACTGAAATCATATAAGGTGTACAAGTACTAAATTTAGATTATATGTGAAAGTATGTGTTTTATAGTCTGCTGACAAAGTACAACTAAGATTTAGAGTACATAATTACAAGATCAAAATAAACTAAGTTTTAAGAGCAGTTCGAATCCATGGCCAAAACCCTGAGAATTTGATCCTATTCGCATTCTTATTTCCTGGAATATTTTGTAAGGATGAGTTCCTTCCTCATCATTAAAACATAAACAACAAAGATATTTTTATACATATGTAAATCTATTTACAGCTTTGTATATAAGGATGAATACATCAATCTCTATGATAATATCTATATTGGACTTAAATAAAACACCATATCATTAATAGGAATGGCAATGGGTAGGTATGGGTAGGGTACTATATTACCCATCCCCATACCCACGTTTTAAAAAAAATACCCGTACCCAGCCTCATACCCGTGTGGGTATGAACATTAATCACCGTACCTGTACCTGTATCCTTTGGGTACCTGATACCCATCTTGTACCCATTACTGGCGCTTGTTTGAGAAAAATATGTTTATATAACTTCACATAAGTAGAATAATAATACAAAAATTCAATATGTAGTTGTCGAATAAGGTACAAACAAAAATAAAAAATAAATATTAAAAGATCACAAGTGCTAAATATATCTTAATACAATAATTTTTTAAACTAAAATTCTTAGAAATAATAAGCGAAACTAAACACACAATTTATTTGTTGGCGATGACCCTATCTTATGTGAGATTTGATCGATCGGCAATGTCAGAGCTCAATTGGTGGCCCTTCGTATGGATCACTTGGTGACCTCTTGTGGCGGCATTGACAACTAACTCCAATAAATAACATTTTATAGTTGTTAGGTTTTAATGAGACAGACATTGAGAATAAGAATAGTGTTAGGGTAGAGAAATTTAAGTACTAACAATGAAAAGTGGATATATAAAATATTGCTACGTTCTAATGATGAAATTGAACTCTCCTTACCTTGATATAAAGATCTTGAAAGAGTTTGATGAAGAGGATCGCTCAAAACGAAAGTTCTCCCTAAACAACACGAGATACCTTTAAAAATAGAACTTTGTGAGAAATGAACGGGATACTCAAACTTAAACTCAAAGAAACTTACTTGGGATTACTTAGATTAGGCGTCCAAGCTTGGATTCGACTAACTATCAAAGTTTGGAGGAGATTTTTTGAAGAAAAAGGGATGAGAACCTAGAGAAAATGTGAGAATCGTATTTGAGGTTGAGAAGAATGAAAATTTTATGTTGGAGATCCCTTAAATAATCCTCACCTCGCACGCTCTTGCTTGAGCGAGAAATTTTCGGTTGAGCAAGGAGCTTGGGCGAGCTGTGCAGACAATGGCTCCTTACATATTTTTTGATATTCTCGTTTGAGCGAGGCCTTTCTCGCTTGAGCGAGGAGGTGTCCAAAGAGTTCCAGATTTTCTTGCGACTCCTCGCTTGGACGAGCTCTATCTCGCCTGAGCGAGATGATAATTGAGGCGACTTGATCTTGTCTGGCTTTAGTGAGGGTGATCTCACTTAAGCGAGAATGCTCCAAAAAGGGATGGTCCTTCAAT